GCATTACAAGGCCTTTATATAGGCTAGAATTCTCAACTACAACATTAAATGACAAGAACATGCAAGAGGGGTATGAGTCCAATGCATTAAATGAGGCGGTTGGGAAGCTAGTTGTTGGAATTCCTTGATGTTGCATTAAATGAGGTGGTTGGGAAGATAGTTGTTGGAGTTGCCTTGATGTTGCATTAAATGAGGATCTCTATGTGAATAATACGATCTATCCTATTGATTTTGATCTGAAACCAACTCATATCTCTATGTAATCTAAGATAATTGACCAAGGGGTTAGCAAACATCAATCCAACAAAAGCGCAAATCAATAGAACCGAAACAAATCAAAACCGAAATCCAAGTTAGGGTTCAAACATACCCAAAACACAAACGAATCCCTAACCCATAGTCGTGGATCTACTCACGATTCATGGAAAACAATAAAAAGAACAGAGAAAAAGAGATAAAAGAAAGGAGAGAAAATCTCATGTAGATGTGTAGTCTCCACGATCAAATCTTCCTTCTTCTTCCCGAAATCCCGTGAACTTCTATTCTTCTCTTCACCAAAAGCTCTCCAAAAATCTGTATCTAAGTGTTCTCTAAGGTTCTCTGATGTTCTAGGACGTGGCTAGGGCTTTTTTATAACTCTAGGGCGGCTCCCAAGAGTCCTATTCCCATTCGAATGCTGAAAATCGCGAAACAGGGTTTTTGACTGGATCCGGACCGGATCCAGATTCCTGGGGTCGAATTCTGCGTTCTGAAATCGGACCGATTCCAACTGGAATCGGCCCTGCACCGGCAGATTTCTGGTCTTCACGAATTCGCTCATAACTTTCTGCTCCGGTGTCGGATTTAAGCAATTTTGGTACCCGAAGCTCTTGAAGTGCTCTTTCCAATGGTACAAGTCTCGCATGATTTGGACCTCTGTAGAGAAAGTTATTGATATTGCAACATGAGTACCTCATCTGGACTTCTCATTTAACGCTCCAAATAGCTCCTTTTCGAGTCCAATCATCTCCGAAACCTGTAACTCTGCAAAACTAGAACACAACCGAGTTTTGTGTCCTAACACGCCTAGAATTCCTATGAATGCATATGATTATCCTATAAAACCTAGACAAACTCTCATCAAAATATAGAGAAGAATAGGAGTTATCACAAAACATTAGTGAAGAAACAGTTGGAGTGTTCGCAACACATGAACTGGAGCTGAGTATGTACGAGACTCCGTTAGGAATATCTCGTAAACAACTAGTTGCTTTTGATCATACCCAAATCTGAACCTAGAAATAAGCTTGAGGAAGATATGTCGTTGATCGCCAAAAAGATGAACAAGTTCTTCAAACGAAGACCTAGCAATCCGCAGAGGATGGAAGGAAAATCGGGAGGAAAGTGCATGGAGTGCAAAGGCTATGGGCATTGGAAAGATGAGTGTCCATCGGTCATCAAAAGAGAAGTAATGATCAAAACCTTTAAAGAAGTGCAATGCTATGAGTGAAAAGGTTTTGGTCATACCAAGAATGAGTGCACCACATCGGTAAAAGTTAAATCCTTAATCACTCATGAAGACTCAGAATCAGAGTCAGAAGATGATGAGGAAGCCCTGAACAACTTTATGTTCTTTATCGGGATAATCGATGAGCATGATGCTATGAAAGGAGAAGATCTGGAGGGTGATCTAAAGATGAATGATATGTATGATGACCTGATGAAAATGTATGACATCAACTTGAAGCTTGTCAAAGAAAAGAATAGAAGTGCTCTGATACCAAAATGATACACGCCTTGGCTCGGAGAGGATGGAATCTGATCCAAAACGCAATCACTCGCACTTCACGGAGAAGGCTCTCGAATTCGCGTTCGGATTGTGGTTAAAACGAAGGGGAATTGGATGGATCTTAGTTTCAATCACCGGCTCTAAAAGGCTCTCGAATTCAAAACTAAGATAGAAAAATGGATGGAACGAAGGGAAAGAATAGATAGTGGACCTCGGACACACCAAGGCTTGAGTTCGGACACACCAAACTCGTGATCTCGGACACACCGAAGATCGGGATAAATTTCGGACAAACCGAAGAAGAGTTTATAAAACTCGAAATATTTGAGACATTCTACAAGTCTGATTACAAATGATGCATTACAAGACCTTTATATAGGCTAGAATTCTCAACTACAACATTAAATGACAAGAACATGCAAGAGGGGTAGGAATCCAATGCATTAAATGAGGTGGTTGGGAAACTAGTTGTTGGAGTTCCTTGATGTTGCATTAAATGAGGTGGTTGGGAAGCTAGTTGTTGGAGTTGCCTTGATGATGAAGAAGCTTCCTTTAGATAATTGTCTTGCACTCCAAGCAACTTTCTTTTACTTGGTGGCTTCGATCCGAGGTGGAACTCGGTTGTGGAACTCGGTTTGCCCTTGTCTTTGCTCCATGTATGCTTCCGTCAAGATGTTCTTTATTGTTGGATCTGATGTCCTCATCAGTCATGGACTTGATGGGTGTTGAGATGTCTTCTAGTCATGTGTGACACGATGGCCAACGTCACGCGAGTGACGGACGTGGATTCGCCCCTAGTCATAGATTTGACTAGGGTATATGGCTAAGCCCTATGGTGGGCTCCATACGGGCGTGTTTGTGATTGTCATTTATGTGTTACTGTGTTTTGCTTATTGCATGTGTGTTATGGAAATGTCGACTGTACCGTTCTCAGTGGGAACGGGTTTTCCGGGTTCAAACCGGGCCACTCACTAAGCGGTTGTGCTTAGCCCTCGTGGTTTATATTTTTCAGATCACGAGGATTACGCCTAGCGCATCGGACGACGACGACCTGAGAGAAGCAGCATCATGTACGGGATTTGTACTCTAGACTATGGGACTTGTATTCTCGCATTTTGTACGGTTATATTAAGACTATTCGGACATGTCTTATTTCGCACTGATCGCGTTGTATTTTCCGCTGCTTACTCGGATTTGAATTAAAATATTTTTGGATTTCGTAAATTCGTTTCCGCAAATTTATTATTTTATTGTATATCGTCCATGTAGCAAAGCCCGTATACTGTACACGGGTTACGGGTGTCACAACTTTTGGTATCAGAGCCACGTTCTTTCCTCGGGAATGAATCGTGCTCATTACCCAACGGTTTTCTACGAAAAATGTTTTCAAACCATGTCCGAAGAAAATCCTCACCTATCGAGGTCCGTACATCGATGATGCAGTATCGGCCGTCAGTTGCTTAACCGTCTTAAATGTGGTGCAGTGAAATGGCGCCACGACTTGCTAGGCTTGCAGCGAGGGCTGACGACGTTGCCGAACAGACTCCACCGCCTAACCCAGGAGACGAAGGGTGGAGGGCTGAGTTTTGTCAATTCCAGGAGACCGTGTGGCAGCACCTGGCTGCTTACGCCCCACCACCACCTCCGGCGGGAGACCCGGAGCCGAGGGGGGAGGACCTACACCAACCGCCAATACCTGCTGCGATGGCAGGTTACCTAGTCGTGTCTCATCGTCAAGGAGCTGCGGGCGATGCATACCCCGCGATTCGAGGGGTCGGTGAGACCGGAAGTTGCGGAGGAGTGGCTCACCCAGATCTCTCAGGACTTGGAGTATCTGCAGTGCCCGTACCAGTACCGGGCTATGATCGCGAGCCATCATCTGTCGGGACAGGCCCGACATTGGTGGGCGAAGGTGGTGCAGGAGGCACCAGCGAGACATCGCTTCACATGGGAGGAGTTCCGACAGGAGTTCGAGGCAAAGTACTTCAGGCGACAGGACCGTGAGTACCGTGTCGCAGAGTTCCTCATGTTGCAGCAGGGGGACATGACTATCAGCGAGTATGAGGCGGAGTTCACCCGTCTACTGATGTATGGAGGGCATCTGGTGCCCACTGAGGCGTCGAAGATTCAAAAGTTCATTGCTGGACTCCGACCTTACCTGCGGAGGAAGATCGAGATTCAGGAGTACCCGACGTTGAGTCGGTATATCTCGCAGCTGGAGAAGGTGGAGCGTGGTGAACGGGAGAAGAGGGAAGGGAAGACTCGTGAGCGAAGCCCCTTCAGGAAGTGCTTTGGTACGTGTTCATCTGGGAAGAACGTCCGAAGCAGCGACCCACGCGACAAGGGCAAGGCGCCCGCTGTCCATGCCCCACCACCACTGGCGACGAGGGGATCACTGATCTGTTATCGTTGCGACCAGCCTGGACACATTGCATCACGTTGTCCGACGAGGACTACGGGACCACCGGCTCTGGCACTGAGACCACCACGACCACCAGGCCAGGCGAACAGACCACCCCGACCGCCAGTGAGGACTGGAGCAGCCCCGAGAGTTTATGCTCTTGGTGCCGAGCAGGAGATCCAGGAGGAAGAGGAGGAGGAGGCTCACCCTGATGGAGCTGAGGCTGCCGCGGTCTCAGGTACTCTATACTATGGGACTTATCACCTCCTCAATAGGAGAGATATCGCTGGGCCCTCTCGTGGAAGTCGGACTATGAACGAGTGTGGGAGCGGCGGAGAGGCTTGAGACAGGAGAGATCGAGCCAAGGAGTGATTTCACTGTGTGCATACCAACCGAAGAGACATTAGCAGTGCACGGGATCCTGAGAGGCGTACCCCTTGAGGTTTGCGGTCGCCTATTAGCCGCACATATCATTGTGGTACCCATCGGAGTTTTCGACATCATTCTGGGCATGGATTGGTTGATAAGGTACCAAGCCTACATCGATTATCCTAAGAGGACAATCTGGTTTATAGATAAATTCGGAGGGTTCGAGTTTTGAGGCCGAGAAGCGCCAGCAGCGGACCCGATCATCTCGGCACTGAAAGCCGAGAAGATGATCAGGAAGGGCAATGAAGCATTCCTGGTAGTTATTACAGCTACTCAGGAATCGGAGGGGAGACTGGAGGATACACCCGTTGCCCGGGAGTTTCCAGATGTGTTTCCCGGTGATCTGCCGAGATTACCACCCAGTCGGGAAGTTGACTTCAGCATAGATGTGCTACCGGGTATCGAGCCAATTTCCAAGGCTCCGTATCGGATGGCACCTACGGAGATGGCCGAGCTGAAGAAACAGCTGAACGAGTTGGTGGAGCAGGGTTTCATTCGCCCTAGCGTTTCACCGTGGGGAGCAGCGGTACTCTTCGTGAAGAAGAAGGACGGGAGTATGCGATTGTGCATCGACTACCGAGGGCTCAACCAAGTGACTATCAAGAATTTGTACCCGCTACCGAGGATTGATGAGTTGTTAGACCAGCTACAGGGAGCCCAATGGTTTTCGAAGATCGATCTACGATCCGGATATCATCAGATT